GGTCTAGGAGTCTCCCCTGGTTCAAAACCATCTTTAGAGGTCCTAGCACGCCATTTTTCGAGCCACTCTTTCATTTGAGCCAAAAAAAACATTCATATCTTGTCTGACATCTCTGTTACAAACTCTGGTCATCAACTCTGGTTTTCAGTTGAAATTGGAATTGTTAATTTCCACAATAATAGGATTACATTGACGATTTTTTCTTAACTCGCAAAAATCTTCAAACAATGTACTATCGATTGGTGATAAAATTTTTTGGAAATAATGAAATAGAGGGGATAACGCCTTTTTTTTCAGAGGTTTTTTCAAAAATTTATTTTAAAAAAAGTACTAACTAGCAAATGTTTTTTATTAGCCCGCAATTTTTTTCAAAACTACTTCAATGAGGAAAAAAATGAAAATTTGGAATATCTATACATGAGGGGCTAATTGATCGGATCTAACGTTTCACAGCTGAAACCCGGATGGGCAATCCAACGAAGTCCAATCCAATGAATAATTTATAAATCCTTGATTTCGATGTCAATTGGGATGAGGGTTTATTCAATCTTCATAAATCAAAACACTGAGTGCTTCGGGAGAGCACGTAAACTATTTATTCACTTAATCATTTACTTAATAATATTACAAGACTCTGAATATGATTTTAACTAGAAGATCTGATCTCTAAAGAGGGACTCGTCGAACTAATGAAACTTATCCAAAAACTGCCCTCCGGAGGATCCCATAACTCCCACTCCATGCGTATTGCGCACGCATTTTCTTTCTCTCTAATATCATTTAAAGGTTTTACATGCTAAACTCAAAAAGTGGTGGGGAGTTGCTGGGCGAAACTAGGACGCAGTCAACCGTCGCCAGCCACCCCCACTTATTTCTAGATTTTAAGACGCACGTGGCCCGTCAAACAATGACGTTCTCAGACGAAACACAAAGACACAATGGGAGTCTTGTTTAAGATTTTTCTAGAGTGGTTCACGTTTGAATTTTATGGTGTTTATGGCGACGTCAGAAAATCAACAGTCGTCCAATNTCCCATAACTCCCACTCCATGCGTATTGCGCACGCATTTTCTTTCTCTCTAATATCATTTAAAGGTTTTACATGCTAAACTCAAAAAGTGGTGGGGAGTTGCTGGGCGAAACTAGGACGCAGTCAACCGTCGCCAGCCACCCCCACTTATTTCTAGATTTTAAGACGCACGTGGGCCCGGCAAACAATGACGTTCTCAGGCGAAACACAAAGACACAATGGGAGTCTTGTTTGAGATTTGTTTTCTAGAGTGGTTCACGTTTGAATTTTATGGTGTTTATGGCGACGTCAGAAAATCAACAGTCGTCCAATATTTATATTAACTCTGTTTATACTTTCTCTCTTACTTTGTTTATCCTATTTCTCTCATGAATAAGAACTCTGTAATTGGATTTTTAAAAGAGATGCCATTGTCCGCCAGAGCACACGTGTTCAGCTACGCAGTATCAATAAGAATAAAATAATTAAATTATCAATCGAATTAATCTGATCATATTGGAATTTAAATTGACCGCCAGGTGCGCAACGCCACCTAGTTACGAACGGCCAACGACGTAACAATGAGTCGCGTGAGGTACGTATGTGTTTCAATCTAATTTGCATGCGTCTGTTATTCATTTCTGCACGTGTAGGTACATTGTCACGGCTGTCATCTGTCAAGACGATTGCTGCTGTTCGACCTCTGCCTTCTCTATTCGCTACTTTATACATGACAATACCCTGGTTTATCAGGGAACACTGATAAAAACTATCATTTTGGATAAATCAATTTTATTATGCGGAAATATTAAACTGTAGCTCATAAAGGCTTGAAGGTTATGAAGTGGTTTTTCATTCAATTGTTCTCAGGTGATTGGAGTGAATACCAGTATTTTAGTTAGTTAGCATATGTTAGGATCTTGATATAATTAATATTTTGGGAGAAATTTAAAAAAAATGGATAAGATAAAAACTGGAAAGGTAAGATGCAGATTTTGAGATTATCTTTGATGATTGTTGACAAATATGACACTAGCGGGATGGTCAGTAGCAACATATTCGATTTCTCCATTATTTCTACAGGTGTGTAAAAATATTTTACAGGTTTATATTGAAAAAATCATGTGAACCTCGTAGAGGTTTGTATACCTCTAAGTATTGCTCAGATTCACCGGAATCCCGCTAGTTTCAGTCTCACCATCGAATTGATTGTTATGGATTAATTGGAGTTTCAGGTGGAAAATGTGAGAATGGTGGATAGGTACAGTAATAATCATTTGGTTGGTACTCTGTATCTCACTGCAACTCACTTTATTTTCACGGATCCGGCTGGAAAAAAACAGATTTGGGTATGGAATAAAAATATAATTAAATATATATATATATATATATATATATATATATATATATATATATATATATATATNATATATATATATATATATATATATATATATATATATATATATAATTAAAGAATCTCCTCAATAATCTCTACTTTGTGAGAAATTTGTGTGGAAGATTCCAAAATTAAATCATTTATTGTTGGATTCATTAAGAAATAATGATGAAAATTTCAAGGCCGTTGACCGCATTATTTTGCAGATATGCATCGCCGAAATTTGGTGAAAAAAAATCATGTTTTCCAATTGTTGGAAAAGTTTCAGCTTTTTGTTAAATTTTTTTATTGAATCATAATTTTAAAAAGAAATGTTGTTTGAGAGTACATATTGGTTTAAAATTGTTATTAAATTTGTTACAAAACTTACATATTGTGACAAAACTGTTATCAAATCTGCGCCCAACCATTGTCTCCAGCACAACTTTTCATAAGTATAAATCCCTCAAGCCGTTATGTATTAAATATGAGATGTGAGCTACAAACCCAATAAATATGCAACAATTCTGGCTAAACACGTTGACAATCATTGCAAAATAAACGGATTAATTATTGAATTCTAATGAATAATTAATCATTTCAGAGTTAAGTTTTGAGTGAAAATATTTCATCACTCCATAGAACACTAAATTTGACGGCATGAATTGGACAATACCAAATAGAATTGCGACAAGTACGTTCAGAATCATCAAGATTCAATAGGGAAATTAATAAACTAGCGTATTGTACGTTAGAATTGTCAACGGCAGGTTATTCTCAAATTTCATTTTGCAAAGTTTCCTTCGGATCTATGAATATGTATGACAAATTACATAATAATAATTTGATAAAATTTTTCATCGCCGATTTGAATTTTTTGCTATTTTTTCTATGTATTCTATGAAAATGTGAGGATAGGAATTGAATTTATGGGTATTGGTTCATTATTCGAAAAAATATATCAACTTTAAAATTTTCCCTAGACATTCAAAAATTAAAAATTCGGTTTTCCTGTTGATCTCGTTTCTCTTCCGTTTTTCACTTTCTTCCATCAGAATTAGATAATAGAAAGAAAATACATTTGTTTTTCTTCATTATTAAAAAGAAACGTTTTGAAATTTTCAAGATTCAAAAATCGATTTTGAAAATTTATTTCTGATTTTCCTTCCCTACATTTTCGGTATTTCCTGTTTCTGTGAACGGAATATGATCACCGGAATTAAAAATGTTAATCTCCCTTCATTGTTTAAGAAGAAAAAAACAATTTGAAAAATTTCGAAAAGCCATAGAAAAATAGATTTTTTCATTTTATTGATACTGATTGATGATGATCGATCGCTCATTGCAATTTCCTTCTTCGGTTTCATTGAAATGAGATCAAAGGGATGTAAAATATTCATATTCGTTCACATTTTCAGATCATTGGTACTAATTAATTTAAAGAAAAAGAAAGAAATGAAAAATTTTAGGTATGATTATCGAAAATTGTTTGTCGATTTGTATTCTCGCGTAATTTATGGAGAATTTCTCTTCATTCAATGTTGTAACTTGTGAATTAAGGAACAAAAATATATATAATAACAATAAGAATGAATAAAATTAAATTAATCTAATTGTGAAGATGGAAATGGAAAGAAAGTAAAATAAAATAACACAGTATAAATTAAACGCGAAGCGGCCATTCGCTAGTTCATACTGAAATTAATCATTTAATATTCTTCTCCACGACAGGTTTTAAATACCCATATAGCGTCCATTGAGAAACAACCCCTTACTACTGCAGGATCTCCGCTCCACATTCGCTGCAAGCACTTCCTAACAATAATCTTCATAATAACGAAAGAGCGTGACTGCCATGACATATACATCACTCTCACACGTCTCTCCTCTCCTTCAAAAATCGAGGATCTCTACTGCTTCACCGCCCACCGAGCTCGCAACTCCCGAAGCAAATCTGATGGTTGGAGCCTTTTCGACATCCAGTCTGAGTACCAACGCCAAGGCCTTCCCAACGGCGAGTGGGCACTCTCCTATCTAAACTCAAACTACCAACTTTGTGATACTTATCCTCATTACATCTACGTTCCCTCAACCTGTACAAATAATATTTTATTAGGCTCAGCAAAGTTCAGAAGCAAAGGAAGACTCCCAGTGTTGACTTACCTTCACTCTAACAAAGCGGCAATCTGTCGTTGTAGCCAGCCTCTCTCAGGCTTCAACGCTCGATGCCCAGAGGATGAGCAAATGCTCTATCACATCTCCTGCACAAATTCCACTTCAAAATTTATGTACGTAGTGGACACAAGGCCCAGGATAAATGCAATGGCTAATAGAGCAGCAGGGAAAGGTTACGAAAACGAAAATTTCTACGACAACATCAAATTTCGATTCTTCGGTATAGAGAACATTCATGTTATGAGAACCAGCTTAGCGAAATTAATGGAACTCCAGAGAACAACATCAATGTCTGCATTTTTGAGTGGATTGGAGAACAGTGGATGGCTCAAACATATCAGATCAATTTTAGAAACAGGCTGGTTTATTGCAAAAGCCATTTCGAATGGAATTACTGTGGTGGTTCACTGTAGTGATGGTTGGGATAGAACCGCTCAAGTCTGTTCCATTGCTGCGCTACTCCTAGACCCTTTCTACAGGACTATCCAAGGTTTTCAGGCGCTAGTCGAAAAGGACTGGCTTGCATTTGGTCATAAGTTTACTGATAGATGTGGACATATAACGGGAGATCCTAAAGAATTAGCTCCTATTTTTACACAGTTCATTGATGCAACTTATCAGCTTTATCGACAATATCCTTACATGTTCCAGTTTAATGAGTATTTTCTGTTGACTCTGCATGATAACGTGCACAGTTGCGAGCACGGGACCTTCGTAGGGAATAGTGAAAGGGAGAGATGTATACTTAAATTGTCTGAGAGGACCAAATCACTCTGGGGAGACATTGCCACGCAAATACATGAGTTTATTAATCCTCTTTACGCTTGCAATAAGTACAAAGATGAGTGTAATAAGGTGCTTGAACCGAATTTATCACCACAGTCTATTGAACTTTGGAGGGGCATGTATTTCAGATTTGAAAATGGGATACATGCGAGGGAGACTGGTGAAGATTTTTTGTTGACTGTTTATAATCACACGTCGAGTTTAGAGGATCATGTGAAGTATCTTATTAAGAGGATCAATGGACTTGGCATGAGTAAGAGTGCAAAGCATAATTCTGAATCAAAGTGCAATTACGATAAGGATAAGTTTAGTTTAGAGGGGGATAGGGTCATTGTAGACAAGGAGTTGAGTCAAGTAGAATTGGAGAAAATCAAGGTTACATTGGAGGAGATTGAGGCTGAGATGAAGACTGTTGCTGTCGAGTGGAAATCTAGCAGTAAGGTGGAGCAGTGCACGTGTCCTATTACTTTTGATGCTTTCACAAAAAAGGTATTTGGCGAATATGAAGACTATTCATTTATTCAGTTGATATAATTGAAAATCAAAAAAGAGAAAAATAGGAACTAATACTTCCATTCTTAGATTTACCAAATTGTTTTGACTTTATTTCCAATGAATTCAAAGAATTTCATTTAAATTATCAAAGAATAATTTGTCCTTCCTCATTGAAAATATTTATAAAATTGATAATTATAACTATAATTAATCTTAAAAATAATAAATCTTTTTGTTTTGCATTCGCAATTGTAGCAAAAACCACTGAATGAATTTTCAGAGTGGATGATTTCCCAGCAACCTGTCAATTTTCTCCGAACATAACAATTATTTTACAATCACATTAATGATAACTGATGTTTTTTGACATTATTTTTCCAGAATCACTGTTGGTCATGCGGAAATGTGTTCTGCATTCGTTGTATGTCAGACAAAGATACATTTACATCTTTACCGGGGCATTCGTCTCAACGTGCTGTACCAATGTGCAAAACGTGCTCCCAGTCTTCACCCCATGGTCCTTCTTGAAGAATTTACGCATTTATTAGAAAACCGTCAATGTCTGAAGACAACAGAAGACCGAGGTTTTAATTCCTCATTCGCACGTGCAAAACCTATTACGACTACTTCAGAAAACTTGTATAATAAAGAATTTCATCTGAATACAGCATTTCTTGTTGATAGAATTTAATCGCCTTTATACAGAATAAAATATGGGCGTGTACATATTCTATAATTTCTGGAATATATAACTCGCAAAACTTTTAGTGTTATTCTCGTACTAGATTGAGTTTTCTGACTTTATTTTGTATCTTTCTTCTCCTGCTGTTTTATTCGATAGTCGGAAAGCGCTGCCTTTATTGCATCCTCAGCAAGCACTGAAAATAGCAAATTATTCGAATTTTGTATCATCATTCAAAATGCGTTCCACACGATATTACAACTAATTTCATTTTAATTGCTACATTTCATTTTTAATAATTAGAGAGAAGACCGAGGTGAAATTTGGAAATTATCGGGCGTCGTAGAGACCATAGTTATAGTTTATGAGTTATAGGGGAAAATAACAAACTAACATTTTTCGAGGTATGAAAAGGGGTAAAGCGGATCAAAACGAATCAAAACGTACAAAAGGATTTCTTGATCACAAAAAAACACTTTTCATTAATATTTAACAGAATTCCTTTTCATTCAATGTTGTAACTTGGGAATTAAGTGAAAAATATATTTATACTAAGAATAAAAATGGATAAAATTAAATTAATTTAATCGTAAAGATGGAAATGAAAAGAAAACAAAATAAAATAAAATAGTACAAATTAATTTAGTAACGTGCGCGAAGCGCACGTTCGCTAATGTAAAAATGTAAAAACAAGCAGGGTAGAACTATTCGACAGAAGCCATGTGACTGTTTCTTCATGTGTTATTCCGTGTGTTATTCATGCGTTGTTCATGTCTTTTTGTTTTCTACCAATTCCATTGATAATAAGCTTTCGAATGGATCCGTAGTAATTCCACTTTCAAAAATGAGAATAGGCAATTCCTATTCAATTTCCCGACTTCATCTGATGGATATTATCTTTAACACAATTAGTGAATATTTGATTTTTATGCTCCATTTTTTTTCATTTATGAATTTTTTACTCTTTTTTTTAAAATGTTTTCTTTAATAGTATCAATCATAAAGGGTAGTTGAGATTAATTAGCATTGCAAACACTATTATTCTTTTATCTTTAATCCTATTTTGCGGACGCGTCACGCCTTTTTGTATTTCATTTTATTTTTTTCGCCACAAAATCTTCAATAAACATTCATTTATTATGAAACCGACTAATATTTAACAATATGATATAAAATATAAATGAGCATAATTTAATGTTGAATGATTTTTTTAATTATCCACACGCAAAAGTCGATAAAGTGACGATGTGTCATTTTTTAGAAAAACGATTTTTAGATAAATGGCTCTATGCCTATGATGCTCTATGATGTACTGAATCGATCGACCCAAAATTTTGCACAGAAGTGAGACCCGATAATACTGATTAGTAGCCAAAATTTTATGGGGTTCATTCCAACTTTTACGCGGATTACGGGACGTCAAATTCACTATAAGGTGAAAACAAGCAGGGGGGAGCGAGTATGTGGCAGTGAACATCTCACATCTCACTCATTAATTTTTGCTTCCGAATGGAAGCTTTGTAATGGTCCGATTTTCACATTCTCTAATTTTCATTGGAAATGATGTAGAATAGTCTGAAGCGTAAAAATACGAAGTTTGGCGACCACGTCTGTATGTGAATATGCCCACCGCCATCTTCCCGATGATCAATTTTTAGAAAATTGAGCAATTAAGTGGCTAAAATAATTCAAGAAAATTTGAAAACTTGGCAGATTATAGGTCTTAATGAGGACTAACGCTGTGCACAATTTCAGCCCGATCGGTCAAGTAGTTTTTGAGATAAAGCGATTCGTGTTTAAATCGTTTTTCACGAATATTTTTAAATTTATTGGACCGATGTAGATTTTTTTTTCAAAGTATTCGTCTCGATGTCTACCTAGATCAACAAAAACATATATACCCTTCCATACAAAGTTTTTGAGATATTTCCCCTTTTCTATTTTTTCATTAAAATCCTTGTACGCGCGCTAACGTGTGCAAAAATCGAGATATCAACTTAAAATTTGGACAGAATCTTTCTCCTGTGATAAAAAAGGTTCCTATTGAAGATGGGCTCAATCGCACCAGTAGTTTCCGAGATATTCAACTTTTTCTGAAAAGCTATTATGCTGAATATCTTTAAAACATTGCAAATGATTCCACTCATTTTTTGTTCAAAATATTCGTCTCGGTGTCCTCTACCGAGATCAATTAAAACATCTATATCTGTTCATATAAAGTGTTCGAGATATTCCCCTTTTTCAGTTTTTTTTTTCATTAAAATCCTTGTACGCGCGCTAACGTGTGCAAAAATCGAGATATCCACTTGTTTTTTGTCAATTCAAGGACTTTGAGACATACTTTTTTTAGGGTGTTCATTCAAAACTGCAAGGACTCAAAGACTTTGATTTTGACGATTTTCTAATTTCGCCTGGGAATGCCGTAGAATGTCATAAAACGTGAGGACAAGACGGTTTTAGAAAATGTGTGCATGTATGTCCGGATGTGTGTGCGAATTTTTCAGAAATTTTTTATAAATCTTTACAAGCAGGGGCCGAGCCTTCCTGTCAGAAGGCATGTGACTGTTACTTGTTGCTTTATTTGGCTTTTTCACCTTCACGGGAGGTTCGACGAAAACCGGCCTCTGAGGCAAACTCGTCCACTCAGAGGACTTTTGGCTGGACAATGGGTTGCCTTGCTAACATCAGCGTGATACGGTAGAGTGGGCGAGGTCCACCAGGAGTATTACCGCCACATCCTCACGAGCCTTTGCAAGCCGGGTATTATACCTTGCGGCATAACTTTCCATAATGAAATGAATTCCTGACCTTCTGGAGAATCTTTCGACTCTGCCAGTGTTCATTCTCCTCCCGAGTATTTCGACTCGAGGGAGTTTTCAGAGCTAAATGCGAATCAGCCGGGACTACTCAGAGCCTGGGACGCCGAGAGGCTGATCTGACCAAAGTGGAACACTGTTACCCACTTCGCGACCACTCACACTCTCGGCCACCAGTTACCGCTTGGGTTATCGCTCGTCACCGTCTCCGGGTACTCAAATGTCGGCACATGGTCGGGTCGACAGGAGGACGATCTCTACTCCAGACCCACGGGCCCACGTGCTCGGCATTTGGTTCGCCGAGCCGGATGACGCCGGAAACAACAAAGTCGTCACTTCGTGTGCCGACATAACTCCTTTTTTACTAGTGGGGGATGCAGGAGCATCCCCCTACGTTCGCCGCCAACGATTATTCACCGAGGCGACGTGGAGTCCGAAACTCCTTATCCTGGCTTCTTCAGCCATTCCACCATCCAGCACGCCGAGAGATTATCCCAACCTCTCGGTTCAAGCGCTCGCGTTCGACCACGTTCGACTGCACCGGAATCTTACTAGGGCCTTGCCTCCTAGTCTGGATATCTCGGCGACGATAGGTCATTCCGTTTCCCTATCCCCACCAATCAACCCGACGGGATCACGGAGGTACCAGTCCTTTCACCTGGACGTTAGTCCCTAGCCTACTCCGACATAGCCTATAGAATCGCCCAGTTGGATGGCCTGTACGTCGGCCCCATTTCGCCTAGCACATGCTGTGTTATGTCCTATCAATGTTACTAGGAGGACAGTGGCGCCTTTTTGAAATAACGAGCGCCAAACTTCGAAATGTGGATCCGTTAGCCGCTAAACCTCTGATGAGGACTCCATCGATGTTGACTCGTTCATTTTTTGAATAAATGGGTTGAAGGTGTATTCCAGAATAAATCAAAACACTAGTGCTTAGGAGAGCACATTAACACTATTTATTTCAAACTTCTAATTTAAGCTTGAAATCTTTGGTAGACAAATACACTTGATAAAACTTTTATGGAAAACTAAGAAAAACTAATCGAAGAGAGAAGCTGGAACAGTTGTCGGAACAACAGCCACGATGGGACTGTCTCTATCTCAAACTGAAAATCTAAGGGTTGGGTCCATACACCCCCACTAGACCAAAAGTTGCGCGCGCAATCTTGGCCCGGAGTAAAGGGAAGAGGGGTAACTTAAAAGAGAAATCGGGAAGCGAAAGAGGGAGAAAGGGGAGCGTGTGACGTCAACAGTATTCCCTCTTGAGGGGTCTCAGGCCCTTCAGCTCCGCGATACAATGAACAAAGGAGAACTCAACACTCAACACGTGTGGAACACGTGAATCAGAGAAACTTTCTAAATATCTCAGAACCGAGATTTAACAATTTTACGACCGTAACCGTCGAGTTGATTTTCTCTCTATATTTCAGAATTTCAAGAAAAGTATTGTTGTGAGGAATTTTGGAGAGCTGTAAATTTACGAAGTAAACTCAAGTACTTGACATTTATTATTTCCGGCAACGGTTTTTCTCACGCCTGCGAAGTTGTTTTTCGTCCCTTGTTCATTGTCCTTTTCATTCTCGACTTTTCTCATTATTTAAAGATTTTACGTTATTTAATTAATTTTTAATATTAATTTGAATATCGCGGACAAAGATGGCTGATCAATGCTACCAACCATGAAAATCAGCGTCAAGACATCACAGCTGGGCGAATTCTAATACGGCGATAGTCTAGTATGCCCTCCAGACCTCCAGGGGTCGCGGTTTCACCCATAACCGCTATGCCTTAGGTCTTTCATTGGTTTGTGGTTTATCTCACCTAGTCGCGGCTTTCTTCAGCCGCTTCTAGGTGTCACTACTTATCTCTCTTCAACAATTTTGAGAGTTCACTTATCTTTTTAAGGGGATTTCAACCCGTAACGAGAAAATCTCGTTACAACGTTTCCTCGAAACGTTTGACCTTCTAAAATTGAGAAGTCAATTTCGATTGTATACAGTGGGATAGGCATATCTAAATGACCCCATTTTTAAGAAATGTTTCCATGTGAAAATCAATGATAGAACGACGATATGTCATTTTATCCGAAAAACGTTTTTTACGTCAACTGCAGTGTGAAATTTTACACAGGAGTGCAATTTGATGATACTAATGAGTTCGCAAAATTTGGAACTATACTACATCCTTCACTCATGTAATGGAAAGTCAAAGCAACTTTCAGACAAAAAAAATAGAAAAACGCCAATGTCTCGTAAAATTTGTAGGAACGGGTATATATATGTGGAAAGAACTAGATAGGACACATCAAGACGAATATTTTGAAAAAAACTTGAAATAGAATGAATAGTTTTTGCTTCCGAATGGAAGCATGGTATTT